ACACATCCCTGTGCTGCCTATATACCTCTATCTTGGAGGCAGAGGAACATTGGGCCTAATTGTGTCTTGGAGCTACTGTGCTGCTCATCTCTGGAGATCTCATTATAAGATCCACAAGCTGTTCAGGCACGTACCCATTTCTCCTCACTCTCTCATCCCTTCAGCTTGTATGGCATAACTGTCGAAAATCTCATCGCCCCTGTGCAGTATTGACAGAATAAAGCAATTATTGTTGATTAGGAACATGCACTGTGCACCTAAAGAGAAGCGTATAGAGACAAAGAGATAAACTGCTCGGCGAGGTGTTTGATCTCACCGTTAGCTGTCAATAGTGAGTGTCTAGTTAGTGCGTCTGATCCGAGCCATGAGAGCACAAGTCTTAGGAAAGTTTTGTCCATCTGACAGCAGATGTGGCAGACGGAGTGGCCAAAGCATTTAGCTCGGGTGCCCTCTGTATTCTCCTTTTCATCCACCAGTTCAGCATCTTCAGAAGTTTCATTTTTATTATCATTTGTGGACGTACTTAGTTGCCTCTTTTCTTCTGCACCTGCCAAATCAGGACCAACCCAAGCATGTACAACTTTTCACAAACTTGCAGCGTGTAAAAAAAAACATTATTACAGCAGGAAACTAAACTGCTCAGATCTTGGTTCCATCAGAATATAGCAGCTACATTAGCACTTGGTACGTATGTGGGTGAAGCAGTTACTGGAGTATTTACATGTATTTTCTGACTTTCAGAGAGTCAGACGAATAGGTGACACTCATCCACAGACCTGGAGCTGGGAGGGAATTAGCTTAGCATAGCATGAAAACTGAGAGCCTCTCCAGGCCCACTCAGGTTGACTTTGGTGGATGCTCAGGTTGACAATGGAAAGAACTATGAGAGGAATAAATCATGTTAAAAAAACTTAATTACGAGTGAGATTGATTAAATCGTCCTGCCCAGACAGGTGCCACAAAATTAACAGGATAGAGGAGCAGTCTGTCAAACAGACACATTTGTCCATGCCCACATTATCCAGAGAAGAGGTCTAATCAGAAAACACCAGTGTGGCAGTTTCACTTTCTTTAAAGTTATTTTTTTCCGTTTCATTAGCTATATTACCTAACCACACAGGAGCTGAAGCCAACAGATGACCCAGACAGGTTGCCAGTCTATCTGACAGAGAGCACCAACACATTCATGATCTCTCAAACCTAAGGGCAATTTATGCTGCTTTCAGACATAAACTGAGCTCTGAACATTTTCCTGAAATCATCCCCAGGGGCTCTGTGGCTTGGACGGGGTGGTGATGACGTATGAAACACAGAATGGATGTGAAACAGAAAAAAACAATGAAGAATACAAAGATCTGAGGATGAAAAATGTGCCATACACGTAGAGGACGCCGGCAAAGATGTCAACTTGGTAAGACAAGATCTTTTGGTGTTAAAGTGCTGTGGAACTTTCTGTGGAATTTATACTTCATGTCCCACCTGCAGCACGTAGGTACCTCCAAAGTTGTCTCAGACTTTGAATTCATATCAAAACTGAAATATATAAAGGATCATATGAGGGTTTAGACTTTAAAAGATTTTCAGTGTAAAACCATTCCCTATATGATTTTAACACAGGCTGGTTAATGGTAAGGAAACAGATCCAGGATCTTGCTCTAGAGCACTTCTGTAGAGACCAAATCTGAGACCACTTTGTCCCAGTACCCAACGGTTCCCTGTTTTAATTTGCTATCCTTCCCGGGCCAAGCCTCTGTGGATGGTGCTTTAATACTCACACAAGTTTATTTGAGTGCTCTTTAATATTTTGTGTCTTCACAGATGGCACACTGTTAAAACTAATTTCCTGTAATGTAAGCGAACACTGGCCGTCTCAGATGGGGACAATATTAAAGAGGTGAAATATTGTCTAGAGAAATGATCACTTTATCTCATAAGGGCTCATAAAGTGTGTGACATTAAACTGTGCAGGAGTGACCCAGTCACAGTCCTCATAAAGGCTGGCTGTCATCCAGACCACAGGAAAATATGTGTTTTTTAAAATCCTTATTACCAAAGGGTTATTTAGATTTTGTTAAAGCAAAAAAATTGAGGTATTTTTCCTTTTATAAAGCATAAAAGAACCTGGTTTTTTTGTGTATATTGTTGGATCCAAACCTCTGAAGATCACTTATACATTTTTCTGTACGGTGAATTCGATTTCTATACATTGTGTGTGTGTGTTTCAAACTTTGCTCATTAAAACTTGTAAACTTTTTGGCTTATTGAGCTGCCTACCTGTTCAGATCTCTGTGCTTTCCAAACCGACAGTAATTGCTGTCAGCTTCTCTGCAGATAAATAAACCTGCGATTGCTCTCCTGGCTCCCTCACGGTTATGAATATGTGCAAACAGTATCCGTCCGTGGCGGTCTGGGGAATTAGCATTGGTTTGGTCTCCAAATGGAAATGCTGCCTTTTGCAACAATTCTATGAGATGCTGTTGAAAGCACCGTCCCCCCTGCAATCTCCTTCACAGCCGCACCCCCTCTGCCCGCAGCTGTCTGAATAATGAAGTCACCTCTCCCTCTTGGCCGCGGCCCAGGCGTAAAAACAGTATTGTCAGCATCACAATGAGAAAGACAGAGGGGTCCCTGCTTGGGAGACAGATGCGGTGTCCTTGTCCATCTAACGCCTCCAACCTCCAACACCTCCCCCCTGCCTCCCCCATGTGACACATACCTTACCGCCATCCTCCCATCACTCAGTGTCATCCTGTCATCCAGGAAAAGTAAAACCTCTAATGCTGGTTAACCTTCCCTTTCACCTCAGGCGATGAGCTCAGTGGCGATTGTCTGACGCTCAGGCATCCAGCGCTAATACACACATGCTCACATTCTGTGTACATGCAGGTGTAACCCAACACAGTGTATGACACACTATCCTTAATCTCTTAATGCTAATTCACAGCCGTGCCTTCACAAGATAATCCACCCAAAATGTATTTGGTTTATACTGTTTTGTGTCTTCACACAGAACGGAGGCTTAGATTCAAAGAATGACTTTGAATCCAACATGATAAAAGCATCTACACTGTGAAATTGCAAAATACTTAATTATAAATCTACGAAGTGATTTATTTTTTGCAGACTTAAAAAATAGATTTTAGGTTAAATACAATTACTTTACAATTGGAACTCATGCATTCAGAAACAATATAAATACAATTAAAGCACATAGAGTACATGCTGTAGCTCTCTGTCTGTACCACGCTTCCCGGGAGGCTGCTGTAAAGCGACTCAGCAGGTGAGGCTCCGCGGCACAGAGCTGCAGCCCACTGAATCCATTCATTCTGTCAGGTGGGGTAACATTATTCTGCAGGTGTTAAGTCCGAGGAAACCCATATTGCTCCAATGATAATTTCCCAGTTCAGCCAATTTCCTGACACGGGGCCATGAGACATTGCACTGTGCGTGGCACTGTGTTTGTAAACCTTGTAGGAGACTAGAATAAGATATTACTTTGGGAGGGCTGGAGTGGTCTTCGTTTGGAGGATACAGATGATGCCTTGCTTATATGAAATGATTAGAGGCAAAGGAGCATGACGGGTGGCGAGAGCAGGCAATCTCTCAGGGTAAACCAGCTGGAAACCAAATTAAAATGGGCCTTTGGAACATGCAGGTCCGACAGCATGGCTAACCCCAGTCAAGAAAAGGACTTTTCAATTTCCATTGCATCCTAAAATGTGCGGTATATCTGGACTTGAGGATGGTGGAAAAATAGATTGGACACAGAGGGAAACTGCATGTGAACACAACAAATGGGTTCAGTGCTTTCAGGATAGGCAGCACTTTTCATCCTCTATCCTGCTTCAGTGTGATGTCTGTGTAAAGTCATTTCCATATTTTGTTCTCACAACTAATGAGGATATCTGCAGTTGCTATTACACCTGTTTCAAAGAGCGTGTTTTGGTGCTGATAACATTAAAAATGAGAGTGTTCCATTTAAGTGAGCTACTTCCAGGATCCTGTTGTCGTGTACACAGGTTCACTGTCTGAGACATCTTTAACAATATTGTTGTCGTGCTTCTTAAGCTATAAACTAAATATACAGGTTATTATGACAGCGGTGACAGATTTAACACTTAAAACAGACAATGTTAGATAAAACCAGGTTGTCACTTTTGCCAGATGATATAACGGCTGGTACTGAGTTATTCAATGCTCATTAATTTAAGGTAGCATTAGTCACTTTTGTTGGAATCAATAGCCATCAAGAAATAAAGTTGTCCAGAAAACTCACTAACCCGTGCTCTCACTGCACATGACTGGAGTCTTCAGCAGGAGAAACATACACCGCAGAAGCAGAGATGATCCACAAGATATAGAGCGAGTCACAGAAATTTCGGCTTCTAACAGTCTCTTAGCAAGTTCATGTATCTTTATCAATTAGCTCCACGACATGTTTGAAAACACCATCTCCGGCTCACGTTCTGATGTTCCTTTTAAAGTACTCTTTCATTGGGCTGCTTATTGGACATCCATGACTTACAAAAGACTGTGCATGTCTGTTTAACATACTACATACTCAAGTTAACAACATCGAAAGCTCAAATCATTCTTCCAAAAGTGTCACATTTTCATGAGAAAAACTGAGAGAAACTAAAAACCTAACTTAAAGACGTAAAAAGTTTCTTTGTGAGTGTAATTACCAGAAAGCTTTGTGGGCTTTCTGAAGACCAGCTACCAGTGGGCGTTTGGAACAATTACAGTGCTCAGGGCCAGAAACCTGATGGAGGCTTCAGGTGGTTGGTGAGTGTCTGCACAACAAAAGACAGACGATTGTACTGGTGTTGTTAGCAACTGGCTTTACAAAAGAAAACATAATAGCTTTTATGTAACACAGCAAAGTCTTTCAGAGAGCAGAAAAAATAACTGAATTCTTTGAATTAATGACTGAAGTAAAGACGTAAAGAGAGGTGGTTCATCATAAAAATGATTTTATTACCCTAATTGTTATCAGAGGACGGATATCAATATTTCACTTTTTACAATATATTACTGTCATTGGACTGTTTTTATACATTGTTTTATATATTAATAACTTTCAAATAATTTGTACATGCTTTTTTGGGGGACTGACATTCCCTGGTCAGATGAAGCAGAAAAATGAGAAAAAAGGCACATGATTGCTCCGGTCCGCAGTGAGCAACACAGTCCAAAGAAACAAAGAACTGTCGTGGTTTGTGTGAGTGACGGTGAAACGCCTCCAGATCTGATGATGGGCAGCCCCTCTGAAGCCTCTTACATGACTTGCCAAGGCAGCACAATATGTCCAAAGCAATTTTCCAAATCACAGCCCAAAATAATCACTGTGATGTGGCAATGGACGGCAATTACATCTTTTGATTTGCTCAGATGCACTCAGAAAAAAAGACACACACACACACTTTCTCTGTCTATCTCTCTCATCTGTAGTTTTACAGTAAAAACAAAAGTATCACAAGGACTTTGAACCACCTTCAGGGGCGGCACTCAGGTGTTTCCTTACTCTGTTCTATACATGTGGCTGAATGTCAGGATCGTGGGCCGTCTCAAACAGTGCAGCTCGATGTAAGGTCTCTGTGAACACACAGCTTCGTGGAACACAAGAATTGATCATATTCTTCTTTCCGTGGCCTGAGGGAAGCTCAGTGTGTGCGGTGCAGTCTGTGGTGTGAAATATAACTCACTAGCACCAGCAGTCCCTGCTCCTCTCCTCTCTGTTTGAGCTCCAAATGCAACTTGAAACAGTGCCCAAGCTGTCTCAGAGGTTCTTCTCTGGCTTCAGTGCCTGGGATGCTTAATCCAGTTTCGTATCATCCACTTCTGACCAGAGCATCTCTGGACCACCAGGCGAAGGCCAAAGTTGGCATCTTTGGACATTTCTACCTCCAAGCATCGACCAGTGTCCCTGCTGATGATCGGACCATTCTGCAACACGGAAACAAGAAAATGTGACCAAAAACCTTGAGAACAAACAGATGGCGCATACAGAGTTTAACTCCAATATTGTAATGTCTGTTGCTCTGGCAGTTAACAGACATTCAGTTGCATGTGCCACATGTGATGTTACAGAATTTATGACCACCCTGAAAAGGGCAGTGTGAAATGTATTCTTTACCTGTGTGAAGTCCCACAGCCTCTGGGAAACTCTTGAAACTGCATCACATTTTTTCAGACTGGGAGAGCGTCCTCTGCCGTCATCAACCAGGCATTTGGTGTCAGGCAAGAAGGTGGTCGACCCCAGGGGTCCAAGCTGGAGAAGCCCCTCAGTCGAGTAGCGGGCCAGCTGCAACACAGAGATAACCAAGGTGTTTCGCTGTTGGACTCAAGCACTGTAGCAGGAATCACAGCTTCCAAAACACATGCATGCCTTTTTTTTTGGAGAGCGCTCCAATATCTGTGGAAAACATGAGTTGTAAATGTGCTTCAGTGTGAAAACTGAATGTGTTGCACAGTAATGACGTTCAGCTGCTCTGCCTCACAGAGACAAAAACTTAAAAAGCAGAGTAAAAAAAATTCAGGCTGATTGGAAAACTGCAAAACAGAAAAGTTTAATGCTGTTATAATTTATTTT